CGAACTTCCCCTGGGATCGGGGATATTAGACCGGGAGGGCCGGGACTTAGGGTAATAAAGGCGGATAAGCCATTGAGAAGGTAAGTAAGAGAGATTCCGCGTATCGTCGGTAATGGCGGCCGCAGGTGGCTGCGCGGGGATGAACTCGCCGCGGCTGGCGCTGTTTTCAGAACAAACCGGCGAGCTTACACTCATAACAGGAAAAATATTAAATCACCATCCCGCTCTCGCCTCCGCCGCCGTCTCGAGTGCGGGAGGATCTCGCGGAAATTGGCCCGGTTTCGGGCATATTGCCTTTAAGGATAAGAGTCCTTTAATCGGGCCGCCTCGCGACGAGTGATCTCGGAAAGGTACCCCGGCTCCGTGCGGGATTTCCCCCCACGTGGAGAAAAAGGGAAACGGGAGTCCACGGGACGTAATCGTCCCTCAATGACTGCTCAAACGAGCCCTGAAAGCCGGCGACCTCGAAGAGGCTTTCCACGGTTCACTTGTCGACCCGAAGACGAATCGGGCCCCGTTTTAGGGCCCCGCATTGTGGCGGTCCTCCACGCTACGAGGGAGCGATTCGTCCCGATTCTCGGCCGGCTTTTCGTTGGCCGTTAAGCCGCATCAACGACGCCCCGATTGAGCCATTATGCCGGACGCGTAATACCATTCCCGAAATTGGACAACCCGCCACGACTCCGCGGGAGACCTCGGTGCACAATGCCCTTGCGTAAGGTATACCTAACCGAGAATAAAGAGGGCTGATTTACCGTGAAATTCGTTAAATGCCGGTGGGCCACTGCCTGCCGCGTCCCCTCCACCCTCTACTGTTGCCCCCAACCACCGATAATGGCCTCGTCTTCGAGGGCGTCCGAAATCGATTTAAATACCGCGCCTAAAGGCCCCTTCTCGAGTAAACGAGACATCTGAAAATGGCTGGTTACAAATTCCAGCGACAAGTCTGGGCGAATCGATCCGAGGCCATTTGAAGGCCTCGTCATCGACTACTCGTTGCAGAGACCGCGTTGCCACCAAACAAGATGGCGGCGCGCGGGCCGAGTATAAGGCTCTTTTGACGAGGGCGGCAGTTTGGCTTCGAAAATCAAAGAAACAACGGCGGCATTGTACTTTTGCAGCCTCCCATAATGGGAAGCGCCCTCGGCGGAGATCACCTCGGGCTGTGCTCGCGTTCGGATACAATGCTCGATACACGGCTTGCATTGAGTCGCGGTGGAGTACAATGGCGCGCGCGACACCGGGATGAGGTACGCCCCGGTGGAGTCGGGCAACGACTTAATGCTATTTAGGTTTCGTTAGGTATTATGCGCGTGGCGTGTGCGCTGGTACGCGAAAACGCATCCCTGGGCTCGACAACAATGGGACGGTGCATCATCCCTCGTGTTCGGTGCATCGGCTTCCTGAAATCCAGGATGGCCGGGTACTACCTCGATAAAGGCGCCGCCGTAAACGCCAGGAACCTCATTTTGAAATATTTCGAATTTGGGGCCGATCCTCGGTGATTCGAGGTAATCGGTGATTCCCCGGTAACGTCTCGAGGAAGTACCATTCCAGGAAGGAGATCCATTTAGGCGTTTAATAGCGTGTTCGGTGTCAGGATGCTCGGGGACGTGGGTGTAAACAGGAGCGGTGTCGGCCGGCATATGGGTCCACGTATACGGGGGTTGAACACCCTAAAATTAGCCCCGGAGCACTCGCTGCAGCCACACGCGGCGTGCAATGCGAGAGCGTGGAAAGAAAAAAAAAAAATGCTTACATTATCATCCGTAATTTCGTAAACACCCGCCGCGCCGGCTCGAAACGCTGACCCTATAAGGGACGGCGGAGGCGTCGCGTGTGGCCGACATTCTGAAAAGTCGTAGGAAGCTCCTTGAGGGTGCCCCTTGCTTTGTAATTCCCGGCATTCGGGGCTATCGTATCGTTTGGACCTCGCGGAATTGCCGTCGCAGCTCATTAAACCGCGTTAATTAGTACCGCGTCGACGTGTGCAGGGAATAACGCGCGGCGCGTCCCTATGGCCGCGGGCGCCGCCATATTGGTTGGCAACCCCTCTATCCACGAGCGCGCCAATTAAACGGCAATTCCCCAAGTAGAGAGCCGGAATTCCGTGGCGGTCCTCTCTCTCGCATCCCGGAATTGTCCCGGAAAATTCGGCCGCGCGCGAAATGTCTCGCAAAATGAATGTTTTCGCCCAGCCAATTTAGCATTTAATGTCATAATTACCTTCGCGCTCTCTCGGCGCGGCCGATGTTTACTTTATTTCGGATTAACGGGCTGCGGCCGCGCGGATCCGCGTCCCCGTTCCGTCCCGTCGATTTATTTATTGTAAACGCGGATTATCGGCAATACTCGCGCGGCCGATGTCGGGAATAAAGCGGGGAAATTCGTTAAGTACATCCAGTGGCTGAAGGACGGACAGCGGGAACCAAGATGGCGGCCGGCCGGCCCTCGGCAGGCTTCCGCCCGTGACTTTTTTCGAATCGCAAACTCGACGCGCATTTAAAACGAGGAAGAGGACGGAGGGGTAGAAGAGGAGCGAACGAACCTCGGGGAGGAGACGAAAACGACTCTGATTTCCGCGATTCGGGGGAAGGGGCGAGGAGGCGCGGCCGGGCAGGAAAAGAGAGGTTAGGTTAGGTAACGGAGCGCGATTCCCGGCTCGCGTTTTGCCGGGGGTGCCTGGGAACCGCGCACCTGTTCTTCCCTGGCCGAGAGACGAACGAGGAACGAGGAACCAGAGGTTCCCGGCTCCAAGTTCTCAGTGGTTCGCAACGAGTCTTGCCAAAGCAGCTGGAGGTCCTAATTTCGGGGGAACCTCGCGCCAAGTACACGGGGAAATTTTCGTCGAGCGATCGTTAAGGGGGAAAGAAGCGCGCAGAAGGGAAACCCGGAGGGACAAGCTCACTTTGGTTTTTGTCGAACGGGAAGCCCGAACCACGTGTGCGCGTACTAACGCCTCCGAGGGACGCGCTCTTTTGCCGGAGCGCACCGAATGTTTGTTTGACCAAGCCCGGGCTCCCAAGCTTTTTACAATAAATTGATCTAGCGCTAATACGGCCACGTGTGAAGGGCCGCCCTCGAGGTTTCCCCCCGACGGAGAGCTTTCGGCTGAAAGTTGCCGGAACCGGGCGAAATTGGGTGAAGTCCAGGCGGGGACGGAGAATCCCGAGGTGTCGGTCGGGATTAGGCAAAGGTTCCCGAAGGACGTGATGCCGGCCCCGTGGAAGGTATTCGAGAAATCCGACCAACCGGAAGCCGAGCCCTCCTAGAGGCGGCCCGTTTGCCGAAAGCATCAGCCGGGATAACTCGGAGCGTATTTGCTCCCTTAAGGGGTGACTTCTGAACCCTCCTCCGGCACCGCCCTGGACCTAAGTACACACGCCGTCGATCCGCGGGTGTGCATAGGTGCACCCGCGAGTGGCAGGGAATTCCACCGATCACCTGACTTCTCCAACCTAGACGGACTAATTTGGGGAAAGGCCCCCGGACTTCGAAAAGTCCCGCGATAGCCCTCGTCCCTCGGCCACCAGCAGCGGATTCGCCTCTCGGAAACCGGCCCGAAAGCCCGGTTCATCCGAAGCACGTGTACCGGGGCAGATGCGCTCGCAAATCCGGAGCCCCGGGGCCAAAACCACCGGCCTCGGGGAATTAAAGCGAACGCGCGTCCATTATACATCTCGCGGTTCGTGCTTCTCGAGGCCCCGTCGCGATCGCTGCGCGTTACATGGGAACCACCCTTAAGGGGATGTGAAAGTGGCATCCGAAAGCTCGATCGTTAATGAAACTTTTCTTCAAACTGAGTGTACCGAATCTTTTCAAACTTCACGATGTGAATAAAGAGGCTAGAAGGAAGGTCCTGACCCTCGTGAAATTTCATTTTTCATAAAGAAAAAATATCAAGAATACCTATGAACAAATTAAAAGAAAATAAAAAATTGAAATGTTATGGCTGGCAGGACCTTCCATAAAGGTTCAATATTCAAGGGATAAAGTTCGAAACGATTCGGTGCATCCAGCTCGGTGATAAGTTTCATAAACGAGACCTCTTTGACGCCACTTTCACATCACCTTAAGCCGCGATCGCTCGTTTGGCCGCGGGCCAGGGCGTCTCATCCCTTAAGGCGTTCCGCCTCGTCCCCGAGCCCACGGGGGACCTCCTTGATAAATTCCACTTAACAAAAGACAACAGAGCGCAACTCGGTTTCCGCATTGCCGGACCGCCTCCGCCGCTTTGTTCGGTATACGCGAAGGCACGCTTCGTTTACAAGATGGCTCCGTGCCTCCCGGTTGGATCTTCGTCGCTTTGCCCCCGAGGTACGATCCTCTAGTAGCTTGATTTTCTAGCCGGTAAACCCCTCGAAACGCCGGATATCGCGTCCGAGACGTAAACCGAAAACGCGGAATACCGGCCCGGGCGATAGCGTTGCGAGACGAAGAACAGCGCGAGCCCGATGTCGAAAGTATAATCAACGCCTCCACCCGGGGCTCAAAGCCCGTAAATTCGGCGGCGGGAGTAATATATAGTTGCCACCCTGTTTGAAAATCACGGGGCCACTGGGAACTTATCGCCGACACTCCCGAAAAGCAGGACCGCCTTGAGTTATGCCAAACGGTGTTGCAACTCCGCAACATGGCGGGCCCCCTCTTGGAGAACTTCGATTATTTACCGCCCGTAGACGGAAACTCCGGTTTCCCCTCCTGGGTCATCTTCCGTCTCCTTTCCTTTTCTCTATCGCTGTAATCACGAAAATCGCGACGAACGACGCGCTTTAAAAAATGGATTTAAATCGATCTCGCGACAAACGACGCGTTTTAAAAAATGGATTTAAATCGATCTCGCGACGAACGACGCGCTTTGAAAAATGGATTTAAATCGATCTCGCGAGTTCGCCGTGAATTTTGAAAATCTAGGAGGATGAGAGGCCGAGTAAGAAAAAACGAGGGGCTGCTTCGATCTTCGTATAATATTTACTTCTGACAGTTCCCATTGGTGCGACTGGGTGGAGTCGGCAGTCGGAATCCAAGGCGATTCCCATGAGATCTAGACATATATATATATACGCGATACGCGCCGGTGTATATATATATACATACATATAGACTATATACCTCATCTATATTTCTAACTCCTGACAATATACACGTAGATCTACCCGGTACAGGTGCGATTATCTATCCACCTAACGTATTCACATTATATCCTATCAATAAATATACCTCATCCGCGTCCCGAGATGCGAGTACGCACCTAAGTCTGGCAATGAACACCCGAAAGGGATGATTCGTCCAAAGGCGCGTCCCTAGGCAAACCTCAAGCCAGGGATGAGCAATAAATAATCGACGCGACGAATTAAGCCAACCTTCTAAGGCGCCTCCGGATAATGAATCGGTACTAACGATTGCCCGGGGAAAATATCTACCGAGGTAGATATTTACTTCGGCATTACCGCCCATCCCTGTCGAGGTTCGACTCCGCTCTCCTCCATAAGGGGAATGACGATACAGTTAAATGCGAAGTCTTGCTAGACGCGGTGCCATCGGCGAAAACCTCATATCTACGCGTTCAGCCTCGTTCCTCGACGTCGATACTATCCAAGATAAATCAGCACCATCCTTCGCCTCCACGGAGAGAAAGAGTGGACCGAGCCAACGACGGAATCAACGAGGAAATTCCATCCCAAGTGACGTTCGATCAACGTTTAGATCGATCGGCGGAATTCCACCCGAGTCGCGTGTCAAATGATCCGACATCGTCGAGATGACGGTCCACTCAACCGCGAGGGCTCGAATTTGCGTCATCCCCGGTTGAACCCCGACCATGCACGTCACTCCGTGTTCCGTCGTTGCAAGAAATTTGCACAGTTGTGCCGTCCGAGTTCCGCCCGAGTGCCCCCGGCGAGTTTAAACCGCCGATATCGAGTCGTTCTCATCGAACAAAGAGGAGGCTACTCGATCAACGATACCCAAAACGAGGGCGGAAGCACTCTCCCAGCAGAGGCCTAAACTGCAAGCTCTAGAAACGAAACTATCAACGCTACTTGTTGTCTTATATTGCTGTCGGTCGACCTGGCCACCTCGAGGAGGGTCTCGGTCCCGGAGAACGCACGGACGGGGGTCCATCCGTCTACCTAATTCCACTCCTTGCCGAAGTCCTCCTCCGAGCAGCTCCACTCCTGCTTCACGTAGACCAGGTTCGGGCCGTACCCGATGTGCGCCTCGGCTTCAAGGTCTTCCTGAGACCTTGAGGAGCGACATCCTCAGTACTTGTGCAGCGTGATGGGCAGGTTGCCGCTCGTGTTGACGGCGTTGCAGTCTTGGTAGTACCTGTGGTACAAGGGCGGCGAGGGAGCGGCGCCAGAAGAAAGGGGAGTAGGCGGGCTGGATCTAAAGGAAGAAAGAGAAACGATCATGGATAATCGAAATCCATGGAATACCATCCACTGGATGGTCGACCCAAACGATGGTTAAAGTATCGTTCGTTCCGGATCTACCGTATAGAGACGGATGCGCACCTGTAAAGCTGACAGCTCGGGCTCTGGGTGTCCTGGTAGATGGCCGCCGGGTCGGGGCTGGCGGCCTCCTGGTACCACTGCGAATGCCCCGCGTTATGGTTCCTGGCGGTCGAGGCGACGTTGTACTCGGCGTGGTCCATGATGTAGCCCGCGGCAGCAGCCGATGGGCAGTAGGGCGTGTACATGGTGCCAGGAGGCGAAGGGTTCCCCCTGGAGGGTGTCACGTGTCCGTAGCCGGAGGCCATCATGGCCGCCGCGGCAGTGGTGGTCGTGGTGGTCGCGGAGGACAGGTCCCTGGTGCCGACCGTCATCGCGTCCCTGGTCCCTGTCATCAAGGAGTGCGTGTGCGTGTGCGAGTGCGGGTGGGGATGCTGCAGAGCGTGAGCGTGCGGATGGGAGTGTGGATCCCTGGCGGGCATCAAGGCTCCGTTCTCCCTGGAAGTCATCAGCGAGTCCACGCTGAAGGTCGCGGGGTCCAGGCCCATGCCCACGTCCATTCCCACGTCCTGATGAACCTGGTGCGCCTGGTGCACCGGGTGAGCCAGGGCGCTCTGGATGACGCTGGTCTTCCCATCCTGGATGGTCCCGTGAGAGTACTTCCCAACGGCCGCCATGCAATGGCCGGTGTTGGGGTCACCGGAGGGCTCCCTCTTGGGCTTGCACTCCAGCCCGGCCATCTTCTTGGCGACCCCGTCCGACTGAAGGCTCGCCGCGGCCTTGTTGGCGTCTTCCTGGCGCTTCTCCGGGGCTAGGCCTTGTCGCTTCAGGGCCTCCTCCTTCTCCTTAAGGGCGTCCTTCTTCTTGAACCGCCTGCGGCGTCGCAGATAGCTGCCGTTGTCGAACATGTTGTAGCTGTCCGGGTCCAGGGACCAGTAGCTGCCCTTCCCGGGTTTCTTGTCGTCCCGAGGCACCTTCACGAAGCACTCGTTGAGGCTCAAGTTGTGCCTTATCGAGTTCTGCCAGCCCTGCTTGTTCTCCCGGTAGTAGGGGAACCTCTCCATGATGAACTGGTAAATGCCGTTCAGGGTGATCTTCTTGTCGGGCGCGTTCTGGATGGCCATGGCGATCAGGGCGATGTAGGAGTAGGGCGGCTTCACCATGTCCTTCCCAGGATGGTGGATGTGCTGCTGGGCGATGCCGGTCACCGGGTACCCGGCCGCGGTCGCGTATGTGCCGTATCGGTACTGCTCATAGTATCCCGGAGCACCGCCGACGCCCGAATAGGTCGGGGTGCCCATGCCCACGGGAACCCCCGTGGCATGCCGGTAATAAGCGTTCTGCTCTCCGAACAAGGTGTGCATCTTGACGACCGCGTCTTATCAGAGACCGCGTCAAGACCGTCACAGCATCCCAGATCCAGCGACACCCGACCGGGCCGATTCTCGCCTCCTCGGCACGAACGAGGACCACCCTGCACAACGAAATCCAACACTCGCGCACCAGAGTCTCGACGTCCCCGGATCAATCGGAACACCTTCCAAACGGAGTAGCAAGGACCCCAACAACCCTCTACAACGACACGGTGTGGTAGCACTCCACCTCCCGCCGCAATTCCTGCTCCTTTTTGTTGTCTCCGTCAACAACGTCACCGCGGACCCCCCCGTCGAAACACCTCGGGAAAACAATGGACAACCGGACGACCGAAGCTTTGGCGACGACACCTCGCGCTCCGCCTCCCGGGGTCGACGTCGGCGTCGGGTTGTTGTCTCGGAGAGGCGGACCGCGGAGTCCGGCGTTGTCCAGCGGCGTCCAGTGGCGGCTTCCTGACTCGGTCCAGGTCCCGGAGCCGCGGAGACGACCGGCGGCAGCGACAACGACGGCGGTCCCGCTTAGCCCGTAAACCGGCCTATTATGATACACAACAGCGGCCCGTTTACTCAGCCCCGAGTAAAAACACACTGGGACCCGGCCTAGCTGAGAGCGGAGTGCCACCACCGACGGCTGCGCGCCCGGCGGCCTCCTCGCGCCCGAAAAACCGGGGAAGAGGCGCCCCCGGTGGAGGGGTCGAGGCGCCCCATTGGCGCGACGCCCGACGCCGTCCCCGCCTCGTCGGATCCGCGCCAATGACGACTTCGGGCGGCGTCGGCGTCGCGGCGCCGCTCGCGAGCTCGCCACTCCGGCCCCGCCCGTTTCCCCTGGACGACTCGCCTCTGGCTGGCTATCGGCTGCCCACTCGCCTCTACCGGGTTCCCGGAATCCCCGGACGAGCGAAAATTCCCCGAGTAGGCTTTTGTTCTCGGCTGGAAGTGGGATTTTCGCCCCCGCGCCGACGGAGTCGCGGATTCCGGACGCGAATCGGACACAGGGTGTAACGGAATCCCACGGGTTGCGCGACGTTACGCCTCGTGAGGATCGAGTCGGGAGATTCTGTACTACCATTTTTTTTTCTTCTTTTTTTCACTTCCAGTCTGCCCGTAGCGATTAATTGAAAAAATTGAAAACTCAACCGAGGTTAAAGCGGCGAGGCTACTCGCGCGTGGTCCAAGGTTCTACGGGCCGATTAACTTTGATTAGGGTACGCCGATCTTTCCAAGACGCTTGAGAAATGACATCGGGCGATGGAGGAAGAGAGAGGGCTCTCGAGTGGAGATCCAAGATGGCGACTCGAGGCGGAAGCGAGGCTCGACGTTCTGGAGCAGTCCCGCGGGGCACCTCGCTACCTCGACGGACGCTCGAGAGCGAGGGGCCTTGTACACGCGGAGGATTCAATTTGGCGAGTGTTTTTCCAAGGGTTCGACTCCCGGCTTGGGAAAACACTCGAGGGACACCTCGGCGCCATCTTGGGAGCTCGTAATCTTCGCGAGTGCCGCTAGGTGCACTCCGATGGCTACTTCGCTGAATTTCTCGCCTCGCCGCGAATCCCCCTCCGATAACGTCCGCCACGCATCGAACGTTAAATATCGCTCTTCCGTCTCCGGTTTCCGATTCGCGGATCGATCTTCGCGGAAACGTTACAAGGGAAGCCTGCAAGAGCTAAGCTACTTGCCCGCGAGGATCGATTCGCGGAAGGCGTCGCCGTGCAGGCGTTCGATTCCCGGCGCTCTTCGATTCCGGAAGCTGGACGCGAAGTGCTCGCCGATCGATAATTGACGCCGAGAGGCGGCTAATTTTCATTTAAATTGAACGACAGGCACGGCGGGTGTTTCAATTCGCCGAGCCGGGCGTGCAGCCGCGGGGCCCCGGAGGAACCCCTTTTGAAGTTGCGGCGAAAGTTTAATTGTCTTTTGCTTTCGTTCTATCTAGATTAATTAATCCCGCGCGGCTCGCCACTCTCGTTCGCCGTTTATAATCCGTTTGATAAGCCCGCCACCGCGGAGCGTCCCTTGTAGGCGGCCCGAAGTTTCGCGCCGTTCTCAAAGGGAACCCATTCTCCCTGGAAGGGTATCTTCCAGGGGGTGAAGAGCGTTCCCCACGTTGATAGCCAGACTCTAGAAAGCTTTGCCGGGTACCCCCGTATGCGGAGGACGCTTCGAGGAAGCGGGGACCGGTCGAAGGAAAGTCGCCTGGTACCGGAACCCGAGTGCTTCTCGTCATGTCCCCTGGCAGTGTTTGCTCAGCGATGAAATTTAAATCTCCGGACCATGGCGACTCCCGAAAACGTCTCCTCGACGAGGAGCGTCCGTCGTTCGGAACGTTTAGTCCTCGACGAGGAGTGACGTCTCGACCCGCGTGGTCGAAGACCTCGATCGCTCCCGGTTCCTCGACGGGGACCGGTCCGTGTTATTCTTGAGAATTCTTCTCGCATCCCAAAAGCGGCAGCTCGAAAGTACTTTTCCGGAATTCCTGGATAAAGCCTATCCGTCTTGCGAAACTCGCGGCTCCCGGATTCCCAGGCGATCGGCCGGTCTCTGGCGGGCCTGCGTCGTATCTTCGCGTCGACATAACCTCGGTTTACGTTTCCCGCTTCCCCGGTGTATACGGTAGGATATGACGAGCGTTCGATACGCGGTATAAAGATAACAAACAGCGGCGTTGCAGGTCCGTTGGGCTCCTTGTGCAACATCCGCAGTCCCCCCGCCTCGGAGGTGCGCTCCGCGTCCCCGGGAACCAAAATGGCCGCCCTGGTTAGTCACATCCTGGAATTAGGGTCGTTCCGATTTGCAGCGTTCCCGAGAAAAACCTTACGGCGAGAGCGTCCATCCTGCAACCGTAATTAATTATAGTTAAACCATGCAACTCGTAATCGGTCTTGCGGATTAATAGCGACGGTGGAAGCGGCTCGAAATCGAAACGGGAAGCTGCAGCCCGTCGATAGGATTGAGTTGGTAGAATCGACGGAGATGCGGGAAAGGGCGAGGCACACAATCGCTCCCGGTGGCAATTTCACGCGACAAGTACCGCGATCAGCATATCAATAGGCCGAGCGGATTACCTCGGATGCGCTGCCATATTTTGCGGTTGGCGCGGGCAGATAGGGTTGCCGCGGTTTACGTCGACCCTTATGTACCCGCGCCTTAAGGCTGATACATCGCCGGCCACGTGATGCGTAAACGCGTCCACATGTAGCGCAAAGTACATCAACCCGAGCCCCCGGTTCATCATTTCCCCATAAGCCGGGATCCAACGTCAACCACGTGGATTACGTCGCGAGAGATCGCCTACGTGTGGACTTTCGACATTCCGCGAGATAGAGAAGCCGAGAAATAAAAAAAAAAAATTATGCCGCCGGAATCGACGCGCGTACTTGACCTTGGTCCCCGAACAAACGTGCATCGCGTTGTTCAAACGATCGAGGTTATGTACACAGGTGGAGGCCGTCGAACGGTGTCGCGCGTTTGGAATCTCGAATCCGGGGAATTTCTGCGCCTCACATTGAGAACGGTCCTCCGTAGTCGTGGGTAAATGCGCTTCAGGTGTTCCCCGAAAGATAAAAGCTTTGATAATCGGCGATAATGACGTCCAAAGATAGACCGATGCAAGTACCGCGCAATATGGCCGCCGAAGCATATGGCGTCGCCCCGGTGGTGCACCCTCGGCGGGTTTATTTAACTTCGGAGCGTATCGGAGACGTCTCGCTTCCTTATTGTCCGACCCGAAGAAACAAATCCCTCGACCGAAGGTGCACCATGGCTGCTACCCCTCATCCCATCCTCGCATCTCCCTTGGCGTGGCTCGGATCCCGGGAGCGGCCGTGTCATTAGCGATGCACCGTCGATTTCGGCGAAGTAGTCGGAAGAAGAAGAAGAAGAAGAAGCCGGGGAAACGGCGAAGGGGGCTAGCGCCACGGCGGTAAACGGGGAAAAGCTTTCATCCCCGTGGCCGCGTGTACCGGAGCTAATTCCGACTGTTTGGTTAGCAAGCATTTAAGGTTTGTCTTGGCCGTTGCTCCGTGTCTTTTAGACAGTCGATCTGTGTTCCGACCAAACGAAATGGAGGCTAAACGCCCGTGACGAGGTGACGAGCCGGCGAGGACGTCACCGGCCCTCTAATGCGGAACTCGAGTCCGAGATTCAAGGTTAGAACTCCCCCTGGGAATTTCTCGGATATCTGGAGGCTTCGATGCGACGTTCCATCGGCGAGGGCGAAGAGTAGCGCTCCTCCGTATCGCCGGTTCCCGATGTATCCCTTGGACCGGCGTAAATGCGCTCACACGTATCCGTGGTCGGTGGTGGGTCGTGTAACGACGACCACGAGACAACCGCAACCCTCCGGCCCTGCACAAAAGATTTAGAGAAGTTGCGGCTGAACAAACAGTGCGCGGCATACGCGCCTCCTCCCTTGGCCTCGCGCTCCTCCGAATCCTCGTCCAAGGTATGCATCCGCGTATCCGCGCGGGGCGTAACGTGCTATTTAGAGGTTATGTCGAAGAGAAAAAAAAAATTACTCCAGCACGTCCTCCCGACCGCCAGGAAAAAGGGCGCAAAGTCGCCCCCCGGAAGCCTTGAGCTCGACGAATGCGCGCGGCTCGTCGCCGATTATTAAAACTGAGCGATGAGAGGGAATAAATAAATTATTTCCAACGGGAGGCGAGAGATACAGTAGCGACTGGCGGCAATTGAAACGCGCCGGAACAACCGCCGTGTTATTTTACGCCGCGATGGAGACCGCCAAGGGAGACGGAATTCGAAGCGAGGTCGAGAGAGAGAAAGAGGGAGAAGGGTCGTTCGTTAAACCGATTTGCACATCGAATGCACTCCCGATTCTCCGCAACAGCGGACCGTTTCACAGGCTGCCTAACCTCGCCTTTCCTCCGTCTCTCGCGAGTCCTGGGCGCTCCCTCGGACGAGCCGAGGCGGCCGCCATAGCGCGGGACAAGTTCGGGGCATTTTCGGTTTGAAACTCAATACTTTCTGCCCCGGAG